AAATGAATTATCGAAAGAGCCCTAATCGGTGAAAATCTTTTTTGGCTTTTGCTTATACGTTAATTTACGTTATTGCCCCTCCAGCGCCAAGGAAGCTTAACCGGGTTGTGATTTATAATAAACCGATTTCTGATTTCATTTCTGGTTAAAGATTTTCAAACGATTTAATACATGACACACAAAACAAACACTGGTAATCACTCATGTGTGGATTGAGGTTGTATATACCAATAAGCAGACACAAATTATGAAAGCCGGAAAAATTGTTACGGTCAATATCAGTCATCTCCCCAAGCATCCTCCCGTTGTTTCTGCCTGGTGACAATCCGGTTTTTCCGAGCAGCTTCTTGTTCTCGCAGCTCTCTAGACCCGAATCCAGAAGCCGGTAGTTTCAGTCCCATGCTGTGTGCAATCAACCGTTGAGCTGTTCTCGCTGATGTCTTCGGTCTTTGAGACGGCGGTTCCAAATCTGAAGTTAAACATGAACATAACATGGTCACGCAAAAGAAACACGAGTAACAACATTTTGACCCGATCTACACGTGTTTTGGTGTCTCACTAATCAGACAGCTTGATCAAGCAGATTAAGGAAGTTTTGATGTTTTAAGGCTCGTAAATTCTGCAGATTCATAAAAGATAAAAGAAGAGTAGGTTACCTTTCCCTGAAATTGAGCTCAAAAGAGAATCGTGATCATCGAGAACACGTATGGTGAATGAACATTGAACCCGGTTGCAAGCCTCTAGAGCTGTATCAATTATCAAAACCAGAGCCAGTTAGCTGTGTAAGATAAGCTCTAATCTGATTTCTAAACTCAGTTAGCAACAAAGGCAGGGGCGTAAACTTGAACTTAAACTGTCACGATACTAAACCTACTGAACTAAGCGATAAATTTTATGTGGTTCAACCCTAGATCAAGTCAGATGCAACAACAACGTCTATAACACAACACAACATCAGAACACGGAAATTTTAAATGCTTTAGTGGGTTAAACCCCAAATACTTCCTAGCTAATCAGCACATATGAAGTAAATAAATACCAGTTGACGGGGTTTTGAAGACTGCAAGTGCTGTTGTATCATTAACCCAACGAATGATAAATCCACTGTCTTTGAAGTCCTCAAAAAGCTTTTCCAAATCAGTAGTCCTCAAACTTGGAGAAAAACCAGCAAGTACGAGGACATGGCGTGTGCCATATTTAGCTGCATTTATAGCAGAAATAAATTCAGGGGTTGTGATTAAGAACAGTCAGCATCGAATTAATCCAACAGACTAATTATGCTTGTTTCAGATACTACAATATAGAAAGGAAACATTGAGACTAATGACTTACATTTCAGCGATTCATCACTCTTCTCTGAATCACGAGACATATCATTGTCTTCTGAATCTTCAAACCTTGACTCACAAAAGTCTCGATCACTGTACATCATATCCCTCTTATAAGTAAAAGTTCCCCTTCCACGCCTCTTAGGTCCTTGAACTTTAGGTTCTTCAACCGAAAGCTTTGATATTTCAGGCAACTCTTCTACCGAGAGTAATTTACTCGGTTCACGATCTGCAAGGGCTTCCCAGTCTGCAACAAGATAGAGGTCACGTAAACATACATGATGGCATGATAATGAACAGTCTGATACAGGAGGTTACTGCAACCTCTTGGCTTGGCTATTTATAAAACTCACCATCATCTGAAGAATCCTGAGCAGCGGAGTTATTGCTGGAGTCTTTTGTCGAATTCTTCGTTTTCCCTTTGCAGATCAACGAAATTCAATCAAAAATTGCCTTAGATAAAGTGAAATCAGAAAGAAAACAAGGGGATCTGTAGATGATTAACCATTAGCAGGAGAGACATTTGGGTCAGAGTTAAGGCCATTGGAAGTTCGATTCTCTGCATCGCCGGAACCTCTGCAGTCACAGTATGAACCCTACTATCGATTAAACTGTTCAAGACAAAAGCATACATTTTTTTCTGCATTTCTCAAAATCTCCCCTAATTTTTCGATCAAACCAAAAAGCAATAGTACCTTGAAGAGGCAAGATCACAATCCAGCGCTCGTTGCTTGATTAGGGAAGAACGAGTGTGAATCTCATCGGATTTGAGGGAGAGCCCCTGAGAAGAATAGAGATCCGCCAATTGGGAAAGAGCGGCTGCTAACTGAAGCCCAAACTCCGTTCTCTCTCCGCCGTGATTATCACCGGAGGAGGAGGAAGAAGAACCGAACCGCGACTGAAGATTGGTCACCAAAGACTCGAGAAACGAGATCGCCGCCGTGACGTCTCCGGCGGCGACGAGATCCTCCACTCGCTCGCTCCAATTTGGTTCACTTACTCTTCCTTGTTCCGCGATTTCATCTTCTTCGATTGTCCTTTTGTTCTCCATAGTTAGGTCTCTACGAGTCTGATGCTTTTTTCAGAAAATTTCGCACGTATCCACACGAACCAGAGAAAACGTTGAAGATTCTGTGTTTCTTATTTATATCATCCGAATCAATTTAAAATTTATTGGAAATTAAGGTAAAACAAACCTTAACTCGACTCTCACGTCAAAGATGTCCGAATAATAAAACTAATATATTCATATAGTTATATTTAATTTTCTCTCGTACTAACATATAGAATGAAGATTATATGTTCAAGTTTTGTATTTAAGATTTTGAGTCTATTTTTCCATCTTAATAATCAGAATTAGAGTTTAATTTAGCCACGTTCATCTACTACATTACAAAAGATGTCTAGAATTTTACATACGTTCAT